CTAATGTCCTAACTAAGAGGCAACAAAACGGCGAAGCCAGTTCACGAATACCTCGGCAACGAGACGGCAGAGCCAGTCCACGAATACCAGAGCCTAATTTATACAGTAGAAATCACGCTAGGTTTTTTAAAACATCTTTAAGGCAACGAAACGGCAGAGCCAGTTCACGAATACCATATAACGTGATTATGTATAATTTCTTTAACCAACCAGTCAAAATTGACACTTTAAGATATTAATTTAATAAATGATCTATTGCTTTGTCATCCTTTACTCAAATTTATTAACTCCAAATAATTGGGATAACATAAAATTACTTACTTCTTTTATTCTTGTAAATTGCTGTAAAATGATTTGATAAATATCTCGATATGTTTATATATGTTTAAAAGTATTTAATTCGCACTTCGTCAAAAGATAAATAATTAAAACAAGTTCTTTTCATATATAAATAAAACGCATAAAAGTCAGCCGACAACAACACAGGACTGTGACTGATAAATTGTTACTTTTTTTATTCTTATTTCAATCCGTAGTAAACGAACTCTCTCGCTCGCTGTCACTCCTTAGAGTCTCTCTAGAGTCTCTCCAGAGTCTCTTCAGAGTCTCTTTTTGACTGAAAGGATTTCAGTGCTTTTAATAGTAAAATGATATTACCCCCAATCCAGGGATATTGTTGTCAGCGCTTTTAGTAATCTTTTTAGTTTATTGTATTAATTATGCATTACAGGATTATTATATTCAGATAACATATTTAACAATTGATAAATTGACATATATATATAAATAATAAGAAATTGTGTTGAACATCGTATTTGTTATGACAGATAAATTAATTGTTTGTTTACAAGTTATTTAAAATACAGATTATACATTTTTCATTAATAATTAGAAGATGCGTAATGCAAAGCATTGAGCATATTACNTCTTCTACGCTCACATCAGCTGTCCTCAAATCGCATTCAATAACATCCCTCAATCTCCTTTTTGGTCTTCCTCTATCTCTACTTCCTTCAAAATTCATTTCTATAACTGTTCTTACAGCTTGTAATTCTTCTCTCCTCATAACATGATTAAACAATCTAAGTCTATTTTCTGTCATCTTATCCACGATTGACGCAACACCTATACTTCCTCTTATATGCTCGTTCCTTATCCTATCTTCTCTAGTCACTCCACTCATCCAACTAAGCATTCTCATCTCTGCTACACTTATTCTCTGCTCTACTTTCTTATCAACCGCCCAACATTATGAACCATACATCATAGCTGGCCTCACAATTTCATACTAAATTTAAAAACTATAATTAATATTTAAAAAATATTCATATATAATATTTTAAAATAAAAGAACTACTACTAATCAGGATATAATTAAAAAAATAAGAGTTGATGCTGCTTTTGGATTAATCCACCAATTTCTCTAAATGAAACACTATCTACAGATTTGCATCGAAGAGTTTCTTATGATAGTGATTTTAATCACTGTCAGATATCATCTATACTTGTCCCAACTATGCTTCGTCCACACTGTACCTCGACTCCACTGTGCTACCGTTTTTTTTATTTATTGCCTTCAATTATTTAATTTTAGATTACATATATATAATCTAAAAGGAACGCAATGAATAGGTACATTGAGTTCTTCGAAATCATAGTGAAAGAAATGTTTTTCCATGTATACGTTCATTGTTGACGTCAAATTATTTATTTATTATTTGATATTAAGCTAGGCTATGATGATTTTTTACAAATATTAAAAATTGGTACTTATGGTTAATTAATAGAAACATTATGCTTAGTTTTAATCATTAGTAATTAGACATTTAAAGACGTGAAATACTATTAGGTTTACTTAATAAACCTTTTTTTAAGCAATTAATCATTGAACAAATTACATTTATTATCTATTTCAATTCATTATTAGAGTTAAAATTATTTTTATACTTTAAAAAAACATTTGTACCTTATAAATATTTTTAGTAGGTCATATTAAATATTACAAATAATTTAAATAGGATTTAAAATAATTTAGACACATTAAATAAACAATATACAAAACATTACTTAAAAATATATTTAAGCCTTATACAAGATTTTAATTACTAAAACCTTAGATACTTCCCTTTCATTTGATATCATTTTTAACCTGCTCATTAGGGTGGATTTCAAATAGCAACTTTTTTACAAAAACTAACTTTTTCAACTTAATTTTTAAAATGTTCCAGAAATACTGTGTTCTTTAAACATATATCAAATTAAAGCTTATTTTATGTGCTATAAAATGAAAAAAAAAAGTTTTTCCTGATTTTTATATGCGCAAATGGCTACCGTATTCAAAAATATGCTATTTTTTTATTAAAATTCTGGGTTTTGTATTTTATTTTATTTTAAAATATCTTATTAGGGGAATACACTGACTTTCATGAATATTATATAATTTAATTGACATAGAATAAAGTTCATAAGACATACGAAATTGAACTTATTTTAATTTTTTTGCTTTTTTAAAGTCGAAAAAATAACTTTTAAATTTAACTTAGCTTAAATAGATAATTTTATCATGCGACGAAAGCAACGAACAGTTGCCGATTCGGTTACACTTTTGTCCTTCATGCTTAGGGCACAAAATTCGAAAATCTGCCTGTGGCAAATAATATTTTGATTTTTAAATTTAACTTAGCTTAAATAGTTAATTATAAAATGGGTAGTTAAAATAGCAAACAATAGTACATATATTTTAGCTTCGATGCGAAGCTGAGAAGGTATTAATT